AGCTACAACTACCACCCAGCTGGTTTGGCTCCTCATGCTTCTAAATCAACAGGCAAAGAAGGAAGTTGCAATACTGGCTGGGATGACTGTCTTGATTACCAAGGAAAAATTGGGCTGCTACAAGACAATGGAGGTAAGGAAGATTGTGTCTCTACTGTGACACCAGGGTATTTGCTGTCTGAAATATGAGTCTGTGAGTGCAAGATTCCTTAGGGCATCTCTTAGTACTACTACACCCTGTGATCAAAGTCAATAGAAAACTATAGCAACCCAATTCAGGCAGGATTGCTAATGAGTCAGACATTTAAGAGATGGTTTTGGATATCAACACCAGGCAAATAACTAAAACCAGCTGAGCTGTTTGCTGAGGGTAATGGGAACATGAAATGGTAATGAAAGAAGTTAGTTATAAGTAGGTACCTAATTATGACCACATGAACCATTTCAAGAATGAAGACTGTAATTGTTACAAGTATTTCTTCTCTCTTTTGATATGAATATGTGATATATATGTATATGTATGTGTATATATATACATATATATGTGTGTATAATATTTTTGTCTTCTGATTTCTTATCATCTTATCATCTAACATAAGGCCAGGTGTGGTGGTACACATCTGTAATCCTAGTGATTCTGGAGGCTGAGGCAAAAGGATTGCAAATTCCAGGCCAGCCTGGGCAAGTTGGCTAGATCCTGTCTCAAAATTAAATAATAGAACTGGATATGCAGCTCAGTGGTAGATTGTCCCTGGGTTCATTACCCAGTACCAAAAAGATCATCTAGCATATTAACAAGAGTTAATTTTTACATCACAGTAACATCACCACTCCAGTGCTTTGAGGCTATTATTAAGTTATAGGATATCAAGAAAAGTGAGCATCATCCAGAGAAAAAAATTGCATCTTCCTCCAGAGAAAAGATTGGTGTATTTTTTATTGTATGCAGGAGAGTTAGATCATGTTAGGTAGAAGTATGACTTTGTTCTTGTGCTTATTTGGAGATTAAGTATAGTTCAAGGAATTGTAATATGTTGCCAAGGTGCCAAGGGGTGAACTGTGATGGTTAGTTTTATATGTCAGCTTATCTGGGCTATAGTATCCATTTTTCAAACAAATACAAATCTAAGTATTGCAGAAATGTGATTAACATCTAAAATCAGATGATTTTAAGTAAAGATTATCCTCAGTAGTTTGAATGGAGTACAATTACAGTAGTCTCCCCTTATCCACAGGGGAAATGTTCTAAAACCTCCAAGTAGATGCCTTAAGCCTCAGAGAGTACCAAACCCTACACAAATGCATACAAATCGAATGCCTTTTCTATCTTAATCAAGGACTCATTATGCACTGTGGATATAACTCTTACAGTTTGAGGTGTGATAAGTACAACTAGCACAAATTGGATAGAAGATTCATTTTTACCATAAATCTTACCAAATTCAGCATACATTTTTTCTTTCTTTATTAATTCAAGAACTTTCACCTTTTCACTTAAAGGAAGTACTTTACAGTTTCTCTTTTGCCAGCATCACTACACTTGTGTTTTGGGGACATTACTAAGTAACATAAGGGCTACTTAAACATAAGCATTTGCAATACTACAACTGTTGATCTGATAACCAAGATAGCTACTAAGTGACTAACAGGCAGGTAGCATATACACTGTAGATATGCTGGACAAATGGAATGATTCACATCCTGGGCAGAATAGAGCCAGACAGTAGAAGATTTCAAGCATGCTACTCAGAACAGCATGTAATTTAAAACTTGTAAACTGCTTATTTCTGGAATTTTTCCAATTGATATTTTTGAATCACAGTTGACCACAGTTAACTGAAACTACAGAATGTGAAACCATAGATAAAGGGAGACTAATATATTGACAAATGATAGCTGCCGTGGATGTAGAAGACTGTAATGGTGGCTCAAGGGCAATAGGTTACCCTTCTCAATCCAGGTTCTTTAGCTTCATTTCTCTGGAAAGAGATTCCTCTAGGTCAGAATCAGTGACTCAAGAATTCCTTAAACAGGAACCCAACTCATGAAATGGGAGTCTTATTTCTTTATAGTTTGCTTATGTTTGCTGAATATTCACTGGGTAAATGGGGCCCTCAGGAGGGCAAACAGTTTCTCTCCATTGATGGGTATACTCTTGACAGTGCCATACAAAATAAACCCTGGACTCTTTTTCCAAGCTCAGCATGCTCCATGCCTGATGTTTCTATGACTGCAAACTCAGCCTCTGACCTCCATGGCATTTGGGAAGAATCTAGGAAGTTCTCCCAATTCATCTGAAGCATCTTAGGTCCTATCCCCAATGAATTAGTTTAGGGCTTCACCATGACACCCGGGGATTTGATGTCTGAAATGTGAATCTGTGAGTGCAAATACATGCTCATCTACAAGGACAAATGTGTACAAGTGTATATCAGAAGAATGGGGAGCACAAATTAGGACTCAATATCTAAGGGGACTAGGGTCTGGAGAAAAAGACAATGACACAAACCAGTTTTGCTTGCCTCAGCAGCTGATGCCTCCATTTGCGGAGTGACACTGAAGATTTCTGCTGGCCTTGAATTCAATCTGGAAGAAGGAAGAAGGAGTCAAATATTTCAATTTTAACAGGATTCTCAAATATGTACCAAATATTATCTGTTGGCATTCCACAACATTCCCACTGCCATCTTCTTCTCTGGATTATAGGAGCTGAAAATCTTGAGACACTTCTCATACTCCCTTGTCAATGCAATCTCTCTGTACAAAATTTGGTAAAGGGAGGTAGAAGCCATACTTTTGCTCTAACAGGAAGAGCAAATAAGTGTTTTTCAGTAGATGTGAATTTCCATGGCATCCTGCTGAACTCCTTTCTAAGCTTGGAACCATGGACATTCATGCTATCAGCAATAGTTTTCTGCAGTTTTCTGACCTCTGGGTGGCAGAAACAACTTCCTGACTTTCTGAACTGTGGTGATTCTGAAAGCTGGTGGTGATTCCTGATCTATGTTCCTCCATACTCTTTCTCACTTCCTGGACTGGTGATGAGCAGAGTGCCTCAGAAGTCTTGTTGAGGAAGGCAGAGTTCACAACAGCCTCTTTAGTGTGGTTTAGAACACTAAAATCTATTCCTCCTATTTAACAGCCTTTTGCTACTCCTATCCATACTCCCTTTATCCTCCCTGTTTAAGCTTAACTTTTGCATAAAAATGTTTGCAGCTGGATGTAAGTGGTGATCCAGGGCAACAATGGTGCCAGGCACAGACACAATTGTGCAGGGAGAGGGCAATTTCCCACAGTATGGAAAAGTCCCGCCAAAATACCAGCATGTTTCATATTGCGGGGGAGAGGATAACAAAAACTAGCCCCATTTACCAGGTATCTGCCAAGAGCTATTCTTGGGGTTGGAGTTCTAGAGATGTTTAAAGGAACATCAGCAGGCTGTCTAGGGCAGGTGGTACTTGGCTGAGGCAGAAAAGAGGCCCAGTAAACACTGGATCCACGCCATCTCTTCCAGTAGATTAGTAGATCCCAACAGCCCAAACAGTGTTTAATTCCTGAATGCTATGCCCTATCCAAAGCATTAACCCTTCTCTTTGTGTAAGCACCTGTTCCTGCAGAATCAGGATATGGGGACAATCTGGCTAGAGCCACAGACCAGATGCTTCTGCAGCTTGGGGTTTCTCCACTGTCCTCAGGACACTGTCATAATAACATAAGTATTTTCTGCCTAGTGAAAGTGATGTATGAAAAGACAGTTATTTGGACACCTCTCCTCTAGAAATAAATAGGTTGGTATCTCTAAACCTGGCCATCCTTGACATATGCACAGAAAATAGAGTGAGAAATAATTCATTGCTCACATGTCCTAGTGAAAACATGCTCTTTTCCTAGGATTTCTACACATGGCTTAGACGGAACTAGTTCCCAGGAGATTTCTGTACTGAGTATTCAGAACTGGGCTCTAATTCATCCAAAACACCCGGAGAATGTGAGGGAAATTGCTGAGGGTAAAGAGAATGAGGAGGAAGATACATATGTAAATAGAAATTAAATATCTGATTGATTCCATAATCATCTTTGACACATCTATGAAAAGTGCCTGGCATGTGTTAGCTCCAGCACAAAAGGTGTACCTCAAGGTGTACCTGGGCTGGGACTCTTTTATTCCTGACCCAAGGAGGCATGTCAGTGACCAGTCAGTTATAACAAGCACAGAGTGCACACTTGGCTTCTTTCTCCCAGAAAGTGACAGGCAACAGAAGACTTTTCTCAAAGCCACTTTGTCACTGGCTAGCACCCCCCAGAGCACACAGTTCTCTGCTACTTACTTTACAATGTATTTCCCCCCCCCAAAATAAACACCAGATTGTTCCAGGACATCTATGGTGCCAGGAACAGAAGCCCTTCATTTATGTTACAGGAGAATGATTCATCTAGATTTCTTCCCTCATTTCAGAAGGTTCCTGATCCTGCAGCACAACTTCAAAGCCCCTCTTCCCGGGCAACTTCCGGCCAGAGCGGGAAGTTGTGCTGGGGTTGCCAGGACTCAGCCTGACCCAGGGTCTGGCTCCACACAGCCCCGCACGGTCTGTACGTGGCCTTGCCCTCCTGCTGCTATTGACTCCAGAAGCGTGACTTCTTCCTATTCAAAGGAGCTAAAGGAAGCCGAAAGTGTGGTTTCGGTGATAGAACAGCGCGGGACTACAAATAGAAAACGGGCTTTTGCCCCCGCGCGGGAGGGAACAAGGCCGCTGGGACGTCCACGCGGGGTCCGCTCCCCTCTCCTCTCTCCAGGCCTTTCCTACAACTCGCTACGGAATACGGTCGCAAGCTCTAGTCGCTCCCTCCGGCCTCAGTGTGAACACTCAGTACCACGTTCCCTAGCAGGCGCCAAGCGCGACATTGGCAGTGTTGCCACGCCCTCGCCTCCCGCCCCCAAGCTATGGCGCATGCCCAGTTCGGCTAACTCGCGTTCCCAGGGGGTGACGGGAAGCGGAAGTACTCGGAGCGCCCGGGAGGGAGGCTCTAGTTCACAGAAGCTGTTGTCATCCGACACTGAGGTTTTGGGACTTGGCGGAGAAGTAAGGGGAGGGGTGATGGTGACGGGCTTGATGGGGAGGAATGGCGGGGCTGTGGGGTCGTGTGTTGGCGCACCTTTGGGGATTGAGTGACCCCGGCAGTGGGGTATGTTGGAGGCTAGGCTCTTGAGTCAGCGAGTCATGGATGGACTGATGGCACTGAGTCATTCAGTGACTACTACTGAGTCCTACTAAAGGCCAGGTTTCCAGACCGGTTCTCACACTAATCTGCACGGGAGCCCTATGCAGTGGTGCTACAATTAACTTTATTTTAGAGACAAAGCAGGACAGTGTGGCTCAGTACCTGTCTGAAGTCACGTGGGTGTTAATCTCTAGAGATCCTTTTTCTTTTCCGGGTAACACTTAGCCCTTTCCAATGTGTCCTGTCCTTTATTTATTATGTTTATCTTTTCCTTTCTCCCCTACTAAAATTAAAAAGCTCCAAAGGAGAATGGAAATCAGATTTTGTTCACTTATATGTCTCCAATACATAAAAGAGGCACGTAGAAGTTACTCAACTCATGCCTTAAATTAATAGAAGTGGCACAGCTGGCCATCAGTTGGTTCTAGAGTCTGGACTCCTAGTACAGCAGTGTTGAACTCAGTGGCAATACTGGAGCTCATCATGAATGTTAAATCTTGAAACTAGAAAGAGTCACTATGCCTCCATGAAAAGTAGCATAGGGGTCGTAATGGAATCTTCTGTGGTCATTGTGTTTTCAGGGCAGAGTGTACAACTGAGACCACTGCTAACCAATTTAAGACTCCAGATTATCAGCACCCTGGCTTCCTCAGTCAGTCTAAGAAGCCCCAGCCTGAGACCTCTGGAGGAGGTGAGCTCTCTGGGTGGGAGGCAGAAATCTACTGCTGCAATGATGGCCCCAGCTATTTGCATTTGTCTCTGAGTTCCTTGATACTGCCTACTTGGGAACAAGAGAGTTCCTCTTGAGTGAGTTGGAGGAGAAGCCTCAGCCCAGAGTTGGAGACTCATAGAACAACAGTCCTAGAAGAGTTGGACCTACAGTGGCCTTTGACCTTCCATTCAGCTGAGAGAGCGAGACTGACTTAACTTCCATGTGCCATCAAATTCCATGTGCCAGTAGGTAGTTTGATCCTAACAGGGAGAAAGAGAGATGAATGTCATAGGTGGCTGGAGGCATGGATGGAACAGCTGCCCTGCTACAGTGGCTGCAATGGCAGGATGAGGCTGGGAACAGTTACACCTTTCTCCTCTCCCTAGCACATATAAGTTCACAGCATTATGCTCCCTTCTCTTGTCATTGAGCCTTCTGTATTTGAGTTGGTCCCTTAGCATTAGCATCACACACTCTGAAGTACATGCTGAATCTCCCTCCATCCTGACCAAAGTGAAGAAATACATTTTAAATTTTTAGAGTTTGGAATTTCAGAGCAATCTCCAGGCATGCTGTCATCCAGTTCTGTTGCCTCTTTCTCATGTTTTCGAAATGGCCTGAGAACGTGCCTTTAAGCTCCCCAGGGCTGATCCTGTTGTCCTGATGCTGCCATAGTGACTGTTGCAGTGTAGGATGGTTACTTTGCACTGGAGCTCCTTGCTGGAACTTTCTTTGGAAAACTTCCCAACAAGGAAGAGCATGACAATCCAAATGCCAGTGGTGTGAAAGGAGAAAGTGACAGGGTAGGGATAGATGGTGAAGGGCCAGTGAAGAGTGGAGGGCCAGGAAGGCAAACACAGACGCACAGTAGTTTTCAGCTTCCCAAAGAACTGACAGTGCTGGAATATGACCTGTCCTCAACTGTCCTTTTCCTCAGCCTTCTCAATCCCATTTAGTTTCCTTCCTCTAAACCACATCAAAGGATTCTTCTCATTCACCATCTGCCAAAGGTCTCTTCATCTGAGTGTGATTATAAATGATGTTTAATATTTTAAAATTTTTATATTTCTCAAATAAATAAAAAAAGAAAATTGAAATCATTCAAAGGTAATCAGTGCCATTTCAAAAACTGCTCTTTGGAACCATACATATATATTGCTTAACATAAATGAGATCACATTGTACTTGTTTTTTTTGTAACCTGCTTTTAAAATTCTAAGCACAGTAATTTAAAAAGCCTATGTAATGGGGCTGGGGCTGCAGCTCAGTGGCAGAACACTTGCCTTGCATGTGTGAGGCACTGGTTCAATCCTCAGCACCACATATAAATAAACAAATTTTAAAAAGGCATGCTGTTCATCTACAACTACACTTTTTTTTAAAAAGCCTATGTAAATGTGTCTGTTTTTATATTTCTTATTTTTAATAGTATCCTTTGCTGGAAGTTTACTTGCTTCCAAAATTTGGAAATGACTACAGTGAATATCCTTGCAGATTTGTGCACATTTATTATTGTTTAGTTCTGATAAATTTCTTGCAATAAAATTGTGGAGATAGAGGAGGTATCTTTAAACGTAAGTCATACTTCTCTCCAGTAAGGAAAGCAAAAATCCCTGTGTAAAACCCACATGATCTTAGCGTAATCCCAAGGAAACAGACTGGGTCTACCAGGCCATGTTTCTAGATCATTCTCCCCAGGGTTCAAAGATGATTATTATTAGGCTGATACTGGTGGTGTTACGGCTGTCCCCACTGATATTGACCCTCCTAATTCTGCCCTTTTAGGCCTCCATCCTTTGTCCAGAGCAGAACAGGATGGCCATTTCCCAGGTAAGTCCCTGATTTCTCCCTACTTTGTCTTCTAGTAAAATTGAGCAGCTTTTTGTAATGTGTATAGTAAACTTAAAAAAAAAAAAAACCCACCTAATTATCCCCTCTGTCCCATTTTCTACTGAACCTATCTACCTCAGGGACAGAGAGATGAAGACAGACAGATAGATACAGGGGAAAGGGAAGACAAATTCTCTACTCCTTCCTTTGGCATCTGTACCTCATCTTTCCATATATTTATCAAATATACATTTCCTTAAATCTGTATTTACCTATATAGACTCATCTTGCTTTTTCCATTTCTTCACTTCTAGGTCACTTGTTCTTATTCTTTACATTTAAAATATAAAGGTAAATTTGCCCTTAATGTTTTAATGTACATACACAAAAATAATAGTCAAAACTATCAATTTCTCCTCTCCCAGTCCCACATTCTTCCTCAGAGATGCACACTATTAACATGTTAGTGATATCCTGGTGTAGATGCTTTTATGTCAATTCAATTAAGCAAAAATATATATGTGTATGTGTATATAAATGCACACACGTTATATATGCATATGTAACTGTATGTGAATATCTGTATATGTATATAAATGTACACATGTTATATATGCATATGTAACTATGTATGTGAATACCTATATGTTTACATTACTGCCATCATACTCTCCTATCCATCTTTTACCACCTTATTATTATTAATAGTAGTATTCCTTGTCAATATGTAAAGATTAATTCAATTCCAGTTTTGTAGAATGGATATTATCACTTAATTATTTGTCTATTGATAGATAATTAGGTTTTAAATTTTCTTTTAATATTAAGACAGTGCCTCATAAGCAATGTGCTACATTTCTATTTGTTCTGTAACGTGTTTATTGAGGATATACCTGAAAGTTGGATTTTTGAGTCAAAGGTATTCACACTTTAAGTTTGCCCTAAGTCTTTACTAATTACTACTTTCACAGAATGTTAAAAGACCAGATAATTTCTATGTTCAAGGTTTCCAGGCTAATGAAAGATCAAAGGGAATCAAATTTACTTTATGAGTGCATTTAACCTTAAATGTGATGAAGATATTACAAAAGAGAAAATTATAGACCAATTTCACTTAGGATATAGATGTCAAAATTCTAAAACCATATGCTGAGTTGAATGTGAATAAGTGTAATTGAGCATGTTTCAAAGTAATTTTTACTCATGGCAAAATTTCAAGCAAAAGCTTTGTTAAACAAAAGAAGAAAAATTAATTCTTTCTGTCACCCATCCCCAAGTCTTTCTCTCCTTCAGTTTTCATACATTCTATCTAGATACATGAATCAGTTTTTCGTTTCTTTTTCCTTTTTTTTTTTTTTAACTATGGATTGAGCACAGGGGCACTTTACCACTCAGTTACATCCCCAGACCTTTTAATATTTTTCTTTATTTTGAGCCAGGGTGTGGCTAAGTTGCTGAGGCTGACTCCAAACTTCCTGTCCTCTTGCCTCAGCCTCCCTAGAGTAGCCAAGATTGCAAGCATATGCCACTATGTCTATCTTCTTTCTCTTTCATATGTATAAGTGTTGTTATTTTTCCTTTTACTAGATTTAAGCTTCACAAGTTCAGGAGATTTATTTATTTTATTAATCTTGACATCCACAGGACCTAACACTTCGGTGTCTATTCAGTAAATATGCATTGAATGTATAAGATATTTTAACACTCTACTTCCCCTACAAAGTTTAACATAATTTAAGTATATATAATCCTGTGTATACAGTAGTCCCACTTTGCCTATGGCTTTGCTTTCTGTGGTTTCAGTTACATGCAGTTAACTTTGGTCTAAAAATATTAAATGGAAAATTCCAGAAATGAACAATTTATAAGTTTTAATTTGGATATCATTCTGCATAATGTGATGAAATCTTGTGCTCTCTTGTTTCATCCTTGTCAAGCTTCCATCGTCCCTTTATTCAGTCTATCCACATTGTGTATGCTAGCCACCCATTAGTCTCTTATTAGTCATCTCATTTATCCGATCCACTGACAGAGTATCACAGTACTTGTGTTCATATAACCCTTATGTAGTAACATTATATTAGATGCCTATGTCATTTTCCTCATTTCATCTCATCATATAGACACCATATCTCACATCATCATAAGAAGTATGGTACAGTGAGATATTCTGAAAGAGAAAACACATTCACATAACTTACAGTTTATTGTTATAATTGTTTTGTTTTATTATTGTTAATCTCTCACTATACCTAATTTATCATTAAGTATGTCTGTATTGGAAAAAAAAAACAGTATGTAAAGGGATTCAGTACTATCCATGATTTCAGGCATTCATTGGAGGTCTTGAAATATATCCCCTGCAGATAAGGGAGGACTACTATAATACTCTGCCATATTGCAACTAGTGAACAACATAAGAACAAATGTATAGAGAAAGACAAAATACTGTAGTGTCTTAAAAGGGGGTGCTGAAGACAAACCACATAGATTTTAATCTCTAGTTCCCAGCTATGATCTGGGATAGTTACTTTATGTTCTGTGCACCTTATATTCCTCATCTGTCAAGTTTCTCCTAGGATGGTGATGAGGATTAGAATCTTTAATACAGGTAAAGGTCTTAGAATGGGCACAGCATATGCACTCAGTGTGCATGAGGTGTCATGTCCCAATTCCCCCAGCTGATCCCTTTGTGTTAAAGAGGAATGTGCTGTTACAGGAATCCCTGACCTTCAGGGACGTGTTTGTGGACTTCACCCTGGAAGAGTGGCAGCAACTGGACCCTGCTCAGAAAAACCTCTACAGGGATGTCATGCTTGAGAACTACAGCCACCTGGTGTCTCTGGGTGAGGGACTGCTGCACAGGGTGACATGGAATGCCCCCAGGAGTATCTCCCTCTCTAAGCTGCTGCAAACTCAGTGGCATTGAAACCCTCAGTGAGTTTGGGCAGGAGGCTCAGTGTCAACAATTCATAGTTCCATTAGGTCACTGGATAGGATATTTGTGCTCTCACCTTCTAGGTGACTGTTCTGTACAGGGGCAAGTTGCTGCGTGCATGGGGTAGTCACTGGGGCTACACCATCTTCAGCCTGAAGGGATGGACCTTGGGCTGGAATGCCCGCAGCATTAATGCCACAGTCTTATGTCATTTCCCCTGAACAGGGTATCTACTTGCCCAACCAGATGTGCTCTTCAGGTTGGGACAAGGAGAAGAGGCCTGGAGGGCAGATGGAAGGACTCCGATACAGAGCTGTCCAGGTGAGCAGAATCCAGGTGCGTCAGGCCAGGATAAGGAACCCAGTTGTGTGTAGGAGCTGGGCCCCTGGGCTGCACTTAGGAGCTCTTCTCAGCCCCCAGACTTGTGACGTGACTCTGGTCTGAAGAATGAGCTATGGTGATATCCAAACGAGGCCCCTACCTTGTTGGCCTTTTGTGATCTCTTGTGTTCTTCACCTGGCATTCACACAGAGGGTGGTCTTTCTGGTTCTGAGATCCCACCTCTCTTCCAGCCTCCTAGCTTGCTAGGGAGAAGTACCAAGCCCATTCTCATCCCTTTCCCCCTCCTTTCTGGAAGCTTTTAAGACTTTATTCCCCCTTCTTGGACTTTTGTGTTTTTACTGGAATAATTGTAGGCAAAACACCAATTTCCTGTCTATTGGGCATGCTGTACAGGGGCAAGTTGCTACGTGCATGGGGTAGTCACCGGGGCTGCACCATCTTCAGCCTGAAGGGATGGACCTTGGTCTGGAATGCCCCCAGCATTCCAAGCCCTTTCAGTCTGAAATTTGGAGTCTTTGTTTTAGCCTCAAGAAAATTATTCTACCTGGTTACTTGCCGTTGGTATGGACGACAAAGCTTTGCTAGCGACCTTTAACTCTTTTAGGCCAGGTACCCACTATGTTCTCATCTGTCTTTGCTTTGAACCCAGGTACCATAAACACTGTTTCTGTTTTCTTATTTCTTCTCAGACTCTTACAAATCTGACTTGATGCCATCCATCCATTTGCTTCTCTCAATAATACTTCCTTCCTTCTCAACTCTTTTTGTATTATTCAAAAAATACATAAACTTGAGAAGCCATTGCTCCCAGGTTGAATATTTCATTGAACCATGTTTCAGTCCTGGATGGATGGAGCTGCCTTTTTCTTTGATTAGTTGGTTGTTTATTTTCACTTTCAGCTGCTTGTGGAGATCCAGAAACTCCAGATCTATTGGTCTCCTTTTGCTCTCCCATTTGTACTAATCCTCTCCATGAGCCCATCCCAGAGAAATTTGATTAGAATGCTCTTACTCTTCATAGTGTGGCACATGGACCAGCAGCCTGTGAATTTCTGGGACTCTATGGTGTCAGGCCTCACTGAAGATTTACTAAATTAGAATGTATATTTCAGCAAGCTCTTCAGAGAACTTGCAGGCACAGGACAGCTGAGGATACTGCTCTATTTTTCTTTTCTTTATTTTTTGTGGTGCTGATGATAGTATCCAGGGCCTTGTACATGCTAGGCAAGTACTCTACCGTTGAGCTACACCCACAATCTGAGAAGCACTGCTTTTTAGAGATTCATTTCAGAGCAACATTCTTGGTCAAATGTAGAGGCACCCTGGACCGGTCTTTGTGGCCCCCACTGCTCTCCTGCTTCTCCTTGGTTTTTTTTTGTTTGTTTTTTTCAGCTATAGTATCGTTGTTATAGCTCAGTGCACCACCATATCTGCTGCCTCACAGAGATGCATGAGGATTCCAGTGTACTGATGGCACAATTTCTTAATTTCCAGTGATACCTGGAATTAGAACGAATGTTCTCATTTCACTGGTATCCTGAAAGGGATGAAAACTATATTCAGGATAGTCCACCCTCCTGATTCACAATGCCTGTCTATTTATTTAGTACCAGGGACTGAATTCAAGGGTACTTAACCACTGAATTATATCTCCAGCCATTTATATTTTTTAATTTTGAGACAGGGTCTCTCTAAGTTGCTTAGGGCCTGGCTAAATTGCTGAGGCTGGCTTTAAACTTGCAATCTTCCTGCCTCGATTTCCCAAGTCACTGGGATTACAGGTGTGTGCCCCCACACCCAGCACAATGTCCTTATATTAAAACTGCATTCTATTAAAATTTAATATAGACATGTACATGTTCAGTCTGAGTGCAGAACATAGGATAAAATGTAATCTTATATTCATTCCCAGTTACATCTCCCAAGAGCAGCCTTAACTAAAGGTTTCTGTTTTCAGTTCTTCTGTTGAGCACCACCATAGGTCTAGGGAATATCTTTATTCCTACACTTCTTGAATTTTCATTTGTATCTCCTCTCAATGAAAGATAAGAATTAGCTTACTTACCCTTTGGCTTTCTGCTCTCAGCTCTTCATGTTACTTAAATTCTTATCTCCTTTGTTACATTTATAACTTTAAATAACATTTTTTTGCATTCCACATGGTAATTTCAAATGCAGTAGCTCAGGAGGCTGAGGCTAGAGGATTATGGGTTCAAAGCCAGCATAAGCAACTTAGTGCAGCCCTGAGTAACTCAGTGAGGCATTGTCTCTAAATAAAATACAAAAAGGGACTCAGGATGTGGCTCAGTGTTAAATGCCCCTGAGTTCAAATCCATGGTACCAAAAATAAAATGCCTAGCACACAGAGGAGTGTGCCTGTAATTGCAGCAACTTGGGAGGCTGAGGCAGAAAAATTGAAAGCCTGAGGCCAGCCTCAGCAATTGGTGAGATCCTGTCTCAAAATAAAAAAGAAAGAGGTCTGGGGATGTAGGTCAGTGGTAAAGCCCCTTGGTTCAATCTCCAGTTACCCCCCCCCCCCCCACCCACACCAAAACCAAAAAAAAAAAAAAAACCCTATAGCTTATTTCTCTACTGAACACACAGAACCCTAGATAGAAGAGTGTGCATCTCGTTCTTATTTACCCAGTGTTGGACTGGTGGAAGACAATGAATAAATATTATATCGTTTTGTACCTGGGCAGAGGAAGGAGACTTGTTATTCATCCACACACAAGTGGCTAAGAGTATGGACTTTGTAGCCACATAGTCTGGGTTCAAAATCTGGCCATTTCTCTCAGTAGCTGTCACTGTGGACAAATGGCTTTGCCTCTCTTCACTCATTGTAGAAGGGGGCTAATGATAAAACTTAGTGATTATCAAAAGTTAATGAATTGATGTATGTAAAGCATCTGAAATGGTACCTGGCATTAAGGAAGCACTCAAAATTTCATCACTGTTTTTACCCATACAGAAGGGGGGTTTTCTGTTTGTTTTGTTTTATGGAGTGATTGTTAACCAGATATATATTTCATAATTACTATGGAACTCTCACAATAGTCATGAGTAGGCCCCACTCTCTAGAAATTTTTTCAGAAACCTGGGGTGGGCCTGGTTATATGGATTTTGAATAACATTCCAGAGAGTTCTAATGTCCATGTTTAGTTAAAGGTATGCTGCTTAAAATATCTGCTAGAGAGATTTCAAGGAAATGGGAGACATAGCAAAGCCAGAATCCAAGAGCATGGGATCAGGATGGGATGGGAATATAGGAGCATGTGGACTTGCTCCTAGACAACCCTCATAATTCCCAAGGGTGGATGCAAAAAGCAACTTGAATTGCTTCCCATTCTTCCATACTTAATCTATTTGGGGACTGTAACCCCCCCCCCCCCATGCCTGGATAGGTCTCTGATAGTTCTCTAGGCTAATTTCAGATAATAAAAGTCTCCTAGGAACTGTTGGTCTCAAGAGTAACCTCATTATAATAATAAAAAACTATCATCAAATCCCATGTAGTAGTAGAACCTCTGAAATTTATGTAACATTTATTGATTTTTTCACAGAACGAATTTTTAGCTTTGTTAATTTCTTTGTGGTTTCCTCTTTGTTTTGTTAATTTTTCTCCTTTTACTTTTATTTCCTCTTTTCTATTTAGGCTGGATTTGCTTTGCTATTCTTTACCCAGATTTTCCCCCCAAAATTTTATTATGAAAATTATCATAAAGAACAAGTAAAAGAGTTACAGATTGAATGCACATATAATATCTCCACCTGGATTCAATAATTAACATTTTGCTATATTTGATTTATCTCCTGTCTGTCTGCCAATTCCTCTGTCCTTCCATCAGTTTACCTGTATTTTTTGCAGTGCTTTTCAAAGTAAGTTGCAGAGACTCGTACACTTCACCCCCTGAATTCCCTATAGGCATATCATTGGTACTTATGAGGTATTTTAATAAAAGGATATGCATTATTGGCATGTGATCTTTGGCTATATGTTGTAATATTCTAACATAATTCTCTGTATATATTTTTTGTATGGTCATTATATATTTATGCTGATGTTACTGTGTTGCTTTGTTTTCAAGTGAGATTTATTGAGCTATAATAATGTCCAGTATGAAGTTCACCTTCCCTAGGTACACAGTTCTATAATTTTGACAAATATAATTATGTGACTATCACCACAATCAAGATATTCAACATTTTCATCTCTCCCCAAACAACCTTTGTTTCCGTTTATAATTAAACTTTCTCTCCACCCCAGGCTTCATCTCTTTCCCTTCTAGTTTGTTTGTTTCTAGAATTTCATATAAATGAGTCATATATGACTTCTCTCACTTACTTTAATGCTTTTTAGGTTCATCCATGTTGTGTATGCATCAGCAGTTTGTTCCTTTTTATAGCTGAGTAGTGTTCCAGTTTATCGATGGACCAGTTAATGCACATTTGACTTGTTCCCAGTTTTTGGCTATTATGAATGAAGCTTGTGAACATTCTTGTACAGGTATTTGTATGATTGACATATGATTTCATATCTCTTGGGAAATATGAGATTTAGAGTGGGATTGCTTGGTCTTATGGTAAGCATATATTTAACTTTGTAAGATATTGCCAAAGTATTTTCCAATGTGGCTGTATCATTTTGTTTTCCCACCAACAACACACCTTTCTAGTGGGTATGTAGGGGATCTCATTGTGATTTAAATTTGCATTTATATAATAATTAATTATATTGGGCACGTTTTCATGTGCTTATTTGCCATCTCTGTACCTTCTGTGGTCAAGTATCTGTTGTAATATTTTGCTATTCTGGTTTATTATTAAATTGTATGGGTTATTTATATATTCTGGCTATAAGTTTTCACCAGCTATGTGTTTTCCAAGTATTTATTCCCAGGCTGTGGCTTGTTTTGTTATTAATAATATCTTTCACAAATGTTTTTTGTTTTTGATAGAGTCTAGTTTATCAAGTTTTTCTTCTGTGATCATACTTTTTTGTGTCCTATTTAGCAACCTCTAACCCAGTAACAAAGTTTTTTTCACATGTTTTATTCTAGGAGATTTATCATTTTAATAGTTATATGTAAGTCTATGACTGATAAGGAGCTAATTTTTGTATCTGGTGTGAGGTAAGGGTTAGCATTCTTTTATATTATTCTTTGCATATGCATTTCCAAATGTTCCTGTAACATTTTTGGAAAGGCCATTCTTTCTTTATTAATTTACTTTGGCATCATTTTTGAAAATTATTTGAACACTTATGTTTCAACCTATATACCAGTGTCACACTGTCTTAATTACTGTAGCCTTATATTAAGTGCTCAAATCAGGTAGTGTGAGTCCTCTAACTTTCTTTCCCTTTTCATAATATTTTGGCTATTCTAGGTCCTTAATATTTTTTTTTTACAAATTTTAGAATCATCTTTTCAACTTCTGTCAAAGGCCTGCAAAGGATTTTGTATGAGATTGCATTGAATCTGTGGATCATTGATATGTTAACAATATACAGTCCTCTAATTCATAAATATGGTATATCTCTCCATTTACTTATGTCTTAAATTTGTTCTCTGTAATATTTTGCAGTTTTGAATGAACAGGTCTTGCAATATTTTCTTTAACTTACCCCTGTATTTTATGTTCATAGAAGATAATATAAATGGTGTATTTATGCATATACACATACATATTTGTTTTATATTTCAATTTCTCATTGGTCATTGCCAGTTATAGAAATATAACTGATTTTTTTATGTGGTTTTGTATCCTGGAACCTTTCTAAGCTCACATATTAGTGCTAGTAGCTCTTTTATATATGGCTTGGCATTTTCTATATAAATTATCATGTTATGAATAAGGACAGTTTCTTTCTTTCCAATCTAGATGCCTTTACTTTTTTTCTTGCTTTATTGTACTGGTTAGGATCCTTGCTATAATATTGACAAGGAATAGGGAGGGCAATATACTTGCCTTGACCCTGATCTTAGGACAAATACATTCACTCTCACAATTAGGTATAAGTTTACTTATAGGATTTTTCATAGATGACCTGATAAAAGTTGAGGATATTTCCTTCTAATCCTGCTTTTCTCCAAGTTTTTATCATTAATGAATGTTGAACATACTTTTTATGGATCAATTGATACATTGTATTGTTTCTCCCTAAGATAGTTGCATTTTATATTATTATTGATATTATTAGATTTAGGCCTATCATTGTATTATTTCTTTTCTGTTTGACCTCCCTCCTTTTGTTTGTTGTTCTGCTTCACTGTTCTACTCTTTGGAATATTTGACTATTTTTTTTAATTTAACTTTTTATTTTTATGTAATTGTAGGTTCTCATGCTCTTGTAAGAAATACTACAGAGAGACCACATGTACTCTTTATCCTGTTTCCCCCAATGGTGACAGCTTTAAAAACCCTGATACAAATCACAGCAAGCATATTGATATTGCGAAAATCAAGATACAGAATATATTTCTGTTACCACAAGGATCTCTATATTGCTATTTTATAGCCAGATCTATTTCCTTCCACTCCCAACTCTTCCTTAAATTATTAATTTATTCTCCATTTCTATGATTCTTTCATTTCAAAATTATTATATAAATGGAGTCATGCAGTATGAAACTATATGGGATTGGAGCTTTTCACCCAGCATAATTCTATGGAGATTCACCCTGTTGCGTGTACCAATAGTTTCTTTCTTTTAATTACCGAGTAGTAATTCGTCAAATGGATACACCATAGTTTAACATTCCCCCTTTGAAGGATATTCCTATTTTCAACTTTGTTGATTTCTGTTCTAATTTTTACTCTTTTCTTCTGATGATCTTTCTTCATTTCTAACATATACATTCAGAACTGTAAATATCCCTCCAAATTCTGCTTTAGCTATGTCTTACAAATTATATGTTTTTTTTTTCATTTTTGTTTCATTCAAAATATTTTAGATGTCCCTTAAGGCTTATTTAGAAGTAAGTATGTCTTTAAATTTCCAAATATATGGGGTTTTCCAAATATCTTTCTCTCATTGATTTCATTGATACTGTTATTGCACATATTATTTCTTATAAATTTGTTATATTTTGTTTTAAGACCCAGAATATGTCTTATCTTGGTGAATGTTTGATATGCACTTGAAAAGAATGTGTATCCTGCTGTTGTTTGATGTAGTGTTTTATGAATGTCAATTAGTGGAGTTGGCTGATAGCGCCATTCACATTATCTATATTCTTGTTGGTTTTCTGTCTATTCGTTCTATCAATTATTGAGACAAAGAGTGTTGAAGTCTCCAACAATAATTGTGGATTTGTCTGTTTCTCTTTCAGATGTATCCATTTTTGCCTCATGTATTTTGAAGTGCTGTTATTAGGTACATATGCTTTTAGGATTGTTATTTCTTCTTGGAGAATTAACCATTTTATCATTTTGTAATGTCCTTCTTTGTCTTAGAAATCTTTCTTGTTCTGAAGTCATTGTCTGAAATTATTGTAGTTACTCCAGCTTTCTCTTAGCTAGGTTTTCATGTTATATATCCATCCCTTTACATATTTTAAATTGAAAGACTTTATTTTTAGTACAGTTTTAGATTTATAGTAAAATAGACCAGCTAGTACCAAAAGTTTCCTTATACCTCTCCCCGACCCCAGTTTTCCCTAATAGTAACATCTTGCATTAGTGGTGTATACTTGTCACAATTTATGTGTGAATGTTAATACATTATTAACTAAAGTCCATATGTTACATTAGGGTTCACTCTTTGTGTTGTACAGTTCTATGGAAATGCTAAAAAATCCACCATTAATGCATTATACAGAATAATCTCAGTGCCATAAAATTTCCCTATGCTTCACTTTTTCATCCTTTTTCCCCTCCCTCCTGGCAAGCACTGATCTTTTTACTGTCTCTGTAGTTTTGTCTTTCCCAGAATGTTATATGTTTGGAATCACACAATATATAGCCTTTTCAGACTGGCTTCTTTCAAATAGCATATGTATTTAAGTTTCCTCTATGTCTGTTCATGGCTTGATAGCTCATTTCTTTTTATTGATGAATAATATTCCATTGTATGGATGTACCAGTTTGTTTATCCATTCAGCTACTAAAGGATATCTTAGTTGCTTCCAGTTTGGGGCCATTATGAGTAGAGCTGCTATAAACATCCATGTACAGACTTCTGTGGACATGTTTTCAACTCATTGTGGATCATTTCCCTTTGAAGTTTATGATTTTTTTTTTACTGTGAACTCCTTTTCAGTGAGAGTTCTTTTTTATGAAAGCTATGGAAGCATCACTGTAGAACGGTTTAGAAATGGAGCCCACTAGTTTCACTAATGTAGAACCAATTTAGGTGTATTTTTCAACTTTGGGGGTCTTGTATGATACTTCAAATGTCCATTTGGGATGTACTCCCACATGTGGTAGAGGACTAGGGTTCTGATTTCTTATAAGTAACTCCTTATTCTTCTTACCATTTTCATTAACTAGTGGGTGACATCACTCTAATTCCTATTTCACAAACAGAGATAGCTTTCATGATTCCCAGCTTTAAACTGGGAGCTCAATTCTAGTTCTCTGCACATTTATGCCCTGTGGCCTGGAATTCACACTCATGATTAGAGCCTTAATCTCTCAACTGCAAAGCCACACAGATTCAGTTTTTATTCACCCTCTCACTTTAAATTTCTTCTTCATTTTTGTCACCTAGTAAATTTCTTGGCTTTTAGCTTGGCTGCATATTACATTTTTTAGGTTAAATTTGGGCCAGCATTTCTTTGCATTTGCAGTCAGCACAGGTAGGGGTGGTGGAACATGGGGAGGATCCATCCACATCAGCTTAAGTCATGTTGATAGGAGTTCACCACAGGGCATTTAGGGCTTAATGTTTTCCCATAATATTATAGTTTAAAAAGACTTACAAATTGAAGGATTTATCATATTTTTCCCCTAGAAGTCTGGCAAGTTGATGAGCAGATAGATAACTACAAGGAAAGTCAAGACAGACCTCTGTGGCAAGCTGCAGTCATAGACAAGGAAACACTGAAGGATGAAAGTAATCAAGATTGCAGAATATGCAGAAAAATCATTTATCTGAGCAAATGCTTTGTTTCTGTAGGACGAAGACTCCCTAAGTATTATTCATGGAAAAGTTGTTCAAACCATAATTTTAATTTTCTTAGTCAAATCAGAAGCTATGTAAAAAAGAAAAATGATGGTGTAAGGTAAATTGGAAATTATATCTCCATTCTAATCTTGATAAAGCCCAACCTGCAGAGAAATTTTTTGAACCCAGTCAACAAGGAAAAGGCCTCCACCAGAAGCAAGCCCTTAATAAAAGATAATTCAAACTGGGAAGAAATTCTATAAATGTACTGAATTTGATAGTGTTTTTCTAGAAAACCAACCTTGTTGCCCATCAAAGAATTCACACTGGAGAGAAGCCTTATGAATGCTGTGAATTTGCAAAAACCACCAGCCAGAAGATAGCCCTCATAGCACACCTGAGAACTCATTCAGGAGAGAAATTCTATGAATGCAGTGAATGGGAAAAACCTTTTTCCAGAAGGCACCCCTCATCAAAAATCAGAGAATTCATATAGGAGAAAGACACTATAAATGCAGTGACTGTGAGAAAGCAGTCAATAGGAAAGTCACTCTCATTTAATATCAGAGGATTCATACAGGGGAGAAAAATTATGAATGCAATGAATGTGGAAAACTTTTCAGTGTGAAATCAACTCTCATTGGGTATCATAGAACTCATATAGACGAGAGAGGCCCTATGATGACTGGGAAAGACTTCAGTGGGAAGACACCTCTCACTAAACATCAGAGAAGTCACACAGGACATAAAACCTAAAGTCTACAAATAAACTTTCAGGTGGAATAACTATTCTTTAGTTATACATTATTACACACTGTGCATCAAATAATTCATTGAAAGTAATCATGTAAATCCAGTGAATATCAGAAAGCCTTCAGATATTGCTCAGCCTTTATTTGATTTAAGAAAACTCAATGTTGTAATATTTAAAGAATGTAATAAACATAAATTTCATTTATGAGTTGTAATATATTGTTCATCAAAGAATTTATGAAGGGCCAAAACTATGAATATAGTGAAATTTTGGAAAGAAAATCTCATTTTATATCAGAGCTCTTATGTTCAGGAGATGCTATCAATTTCATAAGTTGAAGAGCCCAGTTTTCCTAGGTACTGTGAGGAAAATCATGTGTCAGATACCTCATTATACATTTTATAGAAAAGACCACAGGTTTATTATTATATAAACACTCAATTATATACATATTCTTTGTGAATATGTTATAAACCTTTTGAAAGTATAAATATTCCAGGAAGACTATAAAAACAATCCTTGCTTGGTTGATCTGACAGATTAATTTGTAATAGAGAATCTCTAAATGAACCAGGTATGGTGCATGCCTGCAGGAGGATCAAAAGTTCAATGTCAGGAGCTGGGGTTGTAGCTCAATGGTAGAGCACTTGCCTGGCATGCGTGAGACACTGGGTTCAATTCTCAGCTCCACATATAAATAAATAAAATAAATAAAGGTCTATCAGCAACTAATTATATATATATATATATATATATATATATATATATATATATATATATGAAGTTCAAGGTCAGCTTTAGCAATTTAGCCAGACTATCAAAATGAAAAAAGGGCAGGGGATGTGACTCAGTGGTAGAATACTCCTGGGTTCAATCCCCAGTACCAAAAACCAAAAAAGGCAAGAATCTTTAAATAGATTAGTTTGAAAGGGGATGAGCTAGCAGGATCCCCAAACAAAAAGGACTCAAAAAGGAGCAATTACCCATGGATTTTATCTATCATAAGTACAAAAGTATAAATATCTTATGGGGAAAGTTTATAGCCTTCTGGGATGCCTTTCTTAGGAAAAGTCATTATATTCTATTTTAAGTAATTTAATGATGGAGTAATAGGAGGTTCAGGATTTATAGGAAAGATTCTATAAGAGCAATATTTTTTTTTCTTTTTTTTGCATAGTATTTAGGATTGAACCCAGAGGTGCTCTACCACTGAAATATGTCCCTCTATCCCTTTTCATTTTTTTTTTTTTTTAGAGACAGGGTCACACTAAGTTCCCCAGGCTGGCCTCAAACTTGTGATCCTCCTCCCTCAGTCTTCAGAGTAGCTGGGATTACAGGCATGTGCCACCAAAGCCCAGCAGTATTAATTGAAATCAAAATTTTTAGCCAGTTGAATATCCAGTGATAGGTGATTGAGTATTGATACATTCTTAAATTTGAATAATATGCTGCCATTAATGCATTCATATTTTAAGAATTTTAGAAAATGTTCAAGATTACAGAACTGTACTTTATGATCTGTGTTGTAAAATGACATTTGGGAATGATATGCACTATTTGATTTCAGTGTATCTGGGTTGTGTGAATATAGGCAAATTTTAAAATTATATGCATTTATATTGCATTTATGTCTTTTGTGTATGTGTATGTGTTTATCACATATGTGGAGAGAGGCACAGAAAAATAAGAAGAAAAATGCATTCCAATATTAATAGTGGTTAATTTGGATATTAGAATTGCTGATTTTTAAATAATTATTTTAAATATATTTTGCTTAGTTTTCTGATTTTTCTTTCTCATATGTTTTTCTATCCAGAACTCTTTTTTAATACATGACTATTCTGCTACTTTCTGTTCTGCTCATATCATCTTACTTTGACATATCTGCACATATTTACATATTTATTACTTTCCCATGTGGTCATCTGTTTGATTTCAATGTTAAAAGAATATATCATACACCTTTTAGAATGGATATCTCACAATTTTAACAATAGAGTGATTTTTCCAATGAGAATTATAACGTCTTCATACTTTCTTTTACACTTTATCCTCACCAAATCCCGTGACCAAAATCATAAGCCACCGTATTTTATAGATGGGAAGCACTGCAGTGAGTGATTCAAGGTCCTACAGGTAATAAGAACAAACCAATGCAAACCCAAATTCCCATATGAAAAGGCAAAGCCCTTTTCATTCTGCTCTTGGTGATTGTCACTGGATACTCTTTTCTCTTTTCCTCTTTTATCCCTACTATTTCTCATTAATTCTCAACGTGCACTGTGGTTAGTATCTCTTAATATTGACTGTTTATGTAAGTAAAGGCTGTTCATTTTATAAAAACTACATTGTGTAATGGTGCTGCCATGAGAATCAGGAATGAATTCCTCTGATTCTCATGGCTACACTATTCAGTAAGGAGGGTAATGACAAACCACACACATCTCCAACCACACACAAATCCTGATATTTTATAGATGAAACAAAATCATAGTATTTCTACTTAAAACTTGATGTAAGCAGTATAACAAGCGTTAGCATCTATGATTCACATTCCAATGAAAGTTATTCGTGGTTTTTACAATATTCATCCCTCTAGACCTCACCCAATAGAAGAAAGGAGGGGACATCCTATCTGGTTATTTAATCTCTTCATTTTTATTTTGAGTTTAAACATTTAAAAAGAAAGTAATGGTCAGGCTGGGATTGTAGGTTAGTGATAGAGTATTTGCCTAGCACATGTGAGGCACAGGGTTCGATCCCTCAGCACCACATAAAAATAAATAAGAAATAAAGGTATGAAATTTGTTTTTTAAAAAAGAAAGTAATGGGGCTGGGGATATAATTCGGTGGTAGAACACATGCTTAGCTTATGTGAGACCCTGAGTTCAATCTTCAGCTCCAAACTAAAAAGTAACAAGCAGACTTTCATTTCCATGTATACTGTAGTTAGTCTTGCCAGGCCAGCAATTATGCTGCAACAATTGGCACAGGGGTGGGGGGAGAAGTAGAAAACATATTTAAAAGTCATAGAGCTGAAGAAACAATGAGGTCTAGATGAAATAAAATCTGAGAAAGTGAAGTGCTTTTACATATGGTACTGGGGATTGAACCCTGGGATGCCATGCCATTGAGCTACATTCCCAGCCGTTTTTTTTTTTTTTTTTTTGAGACAGGGTCTCACTATAAGCTGCCCAGGCTGAAATTGAACTTTTAATCCTCCTGCCTCAGCCTGCAGAGTCACTGGTATTACAGGAGTGTACCACCATGTCCAGCTGCAGTAGTTTTTCTAGATCAGCTGACAAGTGCTTTCCATTATCTTATCTGGGAGCATTTGCTGATTCTTGGTGTGCTGAGGATAGGCTTTGGCTCAGGCTGATGAACGATACAGGTGGAAAGAAATTCACAAGTGATTCCAGAAAATATATAAGTCTAGAAGATCTCTGAGCACGTCTTTTTTTTTTTGTCCATAGAACATTTACTGAATTTGTGATGGTATGAGAGGCTTAGAAGCTGAGTCAGAAAGGTAAAGTGAAATCTGCAGTTCCACTGTATTTGGAAACAGTCCAAATAAAAGAAGGGGCCTGCTACAGTCATAGTGATATAGGATAAGAACTTAGCTCAAAACCGATTATGGGGAGAGCTAAAACTCAAGCAGTCTTCCAGGTCTGAGGAGACAGAACCAACAGGCTCTCAAGAAAAAATTCAGAAGAAAAATCCCGAGGAACAGTGATGAACAAGAGCTGGGTTGTCATTCATATATATATATATATATATATATATATATATATATATA